GTCCAAGAAGGACAATATTTATGTAGCTTACCTGTGTATTACATTTTGTACACACTGAAGCAGGGACTTCCAGCACTGGTTGAACTTACTGAGAGCAATAGCTCAGAAACATCTGGGGAGCCATAATCCACATGAGGTAATTGAAAAAAAAAAACTATTAAACATGGTACTCCTGAATCTAAGATACAGTTGGCTGGTCAGTCCCTATCAGTCATGGACGAATTTTCTTCTTTTCTCCTCTACCATAAAGTAATGGGGATTGTCACAAATGAAATTACCATCTGTTTTGTGAAGCAGATCACTAAGTGCAGCAGAACAGTGGATGCGTAAACCACTTCTGCTCATGAGAATCCTTGAAGCCAGAAGGTTTAAGATAGAGACCAGGGGTTTTGTATTTAATTGATTCCTTTGAGTAAAGTGGCTCATGAAAATAGCATATGGAAGAATAGGACCATTCAATGGTATATGTTCACTCAGTGAATGAGATGGAAGAATATTTTTAAATGCATGAAAAAGAATCAAAGCAGTCCGACTCTTATTCAAAATTATTTAATCTGAAAAGTAGCTCAGTTCTGCTTTTAAAACCTTATTCATGTTTGTATAATATTAGTAATTAAATAGGCTTAAGTAGTAAGATGCTGTAGGGTGTTACCATTGGGTCTGTGCATGTGAACAAATGTGGATGTAAATAGATCTCAGGGTTTTCATTCTTATGTGAAATATATTCATTAGTTCATTTTGGTCATTTAAAAGTGCAGCTATTATATGAACCAGCTGGGCTTTATTCATAAGATTTCTATATGCAATAAAGAGTTTCATGTGTCTTAAAGGGAGGTCAAAGGAAGCAATTTAAGTACCTTAACTGGAACTGACAGATATGGTTGTGATTTCTTCTTTTCAGTTATAATACTTTTACTGTTTGTATTGTTTATTGCATCAAGAAGAATATTATTCTTTTTAGCTATATTGTGACGTCTTAGAGGATTTAGAGATGGCATTAAGGCAGATGACCTTTTACTAGAAATTCAAAACAGAATCAGTCCTACATCAGATTTTCAGTCTTAACAATTAATTGCATCCAACCCTGAAAGTTGTTGTCTCCTTATGTAGTCCACTCGCCCCTTATATGTAACTCTCCCAATCTAATCCCATAAGATAAAATCAGGAGCAAAAGTTACTGGATGACATCATAGTTGTTAACTACTCATTGCAGTATTCAGCCCATCTCTGTCAGTTTGGCCATGCCCTTTCAATTTTGGCTAAAGACAATCAAAATGGCTCTGAGTAAACATTTTTTTTAATGTCTGACACTGATTTAGAAAAGATGAGTATTCAACTCTTTCCTGATACATTTGAGAACTGTTGGAAATACTACTAGATTTAAAACTTGAATTTTTATTTGTTCTTCATTTATATTATGGACATCTTTCAAATCCCTTGAAATGAATATAAATATATAAATATAAGCATGAAATTGGTAAGAAAATACTATCCACCTTGGATGACTTCAAATTGCCAGGACCAGGTGGGTACTGGACAGGGTACTGAAGGAGCTGGCAGATGTGAATGAAATATTTCAGAGCTTCAGGAACTGCCAGCAGATTGGGAAAAAAACTTCAAGGGAGAGAAAAAAAGTGGATTCAGGAGATTACAAATCAATCAACTTGACATCAATACCTGGGAAACTCCTGGAAAAGATAATGAAACAGTGGATTTGTGAGCACCTAAAAAAGAACAAGGTGATTACTAGAAGCTATCATGGGTTGTTAAAAGCTGGTCATGCCAAACAAACCTTATTGCCTTCTTTGACAAAGTGACAAAGAAAATGCTGTGGATATAATAGACTTAGACTTCAGAAAAGCCTTTGACAAAGTAGACCACAGTAAAATAGAACAATAGAACAATGTGCAATACACAGTACTATCACCAGATTAATTTGCAGTTGGCTGACCAACAGCATGTAGTCCTCAATGGAACTACATCTGTGTGGAGGGAAGCATGCAGTGGGGTATCTCAAGATTCTGTCTTGGGCTCAGTGCTTTCCAACATCTTGATCAATGACTTAGATGAGGTTATTGAATGGGCACTCATGAAATCTACAGATGACAGACTCAAGATTCAAAAGGATCTTGACAGACTTGAGCATTGAGTCTTATCCAAAAGATGCAGCTCAGTGGTGAGAAAAGCAAGGTCCTAAACTTAGGTAGGAAAAGCCAAATGCACAGGTATAGAACAGTATCTGGCTCACAGTAGTACTTGTGAGAGGGATATATGTGTCCTAGTAGACCACCACTTAAATATGAACCAGCAATGTGCTGCAGCTACAAATAAAGGTCAATGCAGTCCTAGGCTGCATCAACAGGGATAACAGGAAGATCAAGAGAAGTGATAGTACTGCTCTGTAGTGCACTAGTAAGGCCACACTCAGAACAATGCATCCAGTTCTGATCATCATAATACAAAAAAAGATGCTGAGGCCCTAAAAAGTGCAGAGAAGAACAACAAATATGATTTTGGGCTGGAGGCTAAGGGAACTAGGTATGTTTAGCACAACAAAGAGGACCATTAGGAGTAACATGATAGCTGCCTTCCAATACTTGAAAGGCTTGTCAGAGAAAAGGAAAAGGTGGTCTATTTCTTCTCTAAAGCACCTTAGACAGGACAAGAAGCAATGAATGGAAGCTCATGAGAGGAAGATTCAATCTGGAACTAAGAAGACATTTCCTAACAATGAGAATAATTAATCAATGGAACAGTTGGCCTCCTGGAGTGGTGGGAGCTCCATCGCTGGAGGTTTTCAAGAAAAGATAGTACAAATATTTGTCTGGGGTGGAATAAAGATTCCTGCAAGGGATTGGACTAGATTCTAGAAGACCTCCACAATCTCTTCTAGTCCTATGATTATATGAAACATGCAAAATTATGATTTCAGTGTAAACCAGTGTAAATCAGTGTAAACCAGGAAGTGCCCTAGCCAAATCATAAACTGATTCATTTTATTTATTCCCTCTCTCCCTTCCTTTCCCTCTACTTCTACTTGTAACTTCTTCATCCTTGAGTTGACATTGCATGATGTTAAATTTCTTTCTTACCTTTTAAAGTCCTAGAATTCCTATTCTGTTAATGCTTTCATCAGCTGCAAATTTGTACATAGATTATGTTTTCCCCAAGCATATCTTACATATGAATCAAATCTAATACTCAGCCAATAAAGTTTCTCTTTCTATCATATATACCTCATGTAGCTATTATAAATGTGAATAAGTATATGTGAGAGAAATTATATGCATAAAAATATAATTTTATAATAACCAGAAATGGTTAATGTGATGACCAAATTAGTCCCACTGGATTTTAGCAAGCATGATTCTTAACTGGATTTCATGGTCACCAAGTGATGCCACTGATATGTTACATACAGCACATTTTGAATAAATCTTGTTCTGAAAAGCAAACTTGAATATGAGATGCACAACTTAACCCAGAATTATAATAATGGAGCAATGACTTTTTAAAAATAATTTGCATGCATTTTCAAACCTTTTTATCTATCAGCCTCTTACTAATCTTAGTACATGAAATGAAGCTTGGCATGACTAACTTGTTATGTCCTTTTTTTATATCCATTGTGGTTACATGAATTAAACTTAGCCAGGATCTCATGATCTGAAATAAAAATTAAATCCCCAGGCAAAGCAAAACAGAAGGGGTTCCCTAGGCTTTTGTTTTTGGCACTGGAAAAATACATGGCTTAAATAGACATAACTAGTTAGAATCTCAAGAGACGCTAACAATAGAATGGGCATTTTGCATATTAAGCATAATTAAATTAGTCATTCAAGAGAGAATAACAACCTAACCCCTTGTGAATCAGTGGTATTTTCATGGAATGTCAAAAAAAAACCCAAGATTGTGTGATGGCAGTGCATGTATATAAAGGATCAAATAATGTTGATTAGCATCTTGACTTTTTATATGCAGACATTACTGATGGGAACTAATCTTTCTTTATTGATGTGCACAAGTAGATCATCCCATTGAATATGATGACACTCACTATGAAAAACTTTAAGGACAAGATACTTAGAATTATCTTTGTTATGCTGTACAAAAGAATGTCAGAAGTCACATCAAACTGAACGTCTATTTGTTAAGACATAATATAGTTCAAATATACACATCTACTGAACACAGATGTTACTGCAAATAAAGAGCCAAAATGAAGTCAGGCACATGACTGTAAATATTCACAGAATACTCTTGTTCTTATTACATTGGGATTTTGCTATCCTGCTTGCTCAGTTTTTCTAGCGCTAGTCAGCAACAACAGATATTTCTTTTGGCTGTTTACGTTACATTGTTTAACTTAAATTATGTTGACTGCTTGTGTTCCATTGTCTGATTTAAATTATGTTAATTGATCATTATCTTGAACTCAGAGTAGCCAAGATATGCTATGTAAAGTCAAGCCTAAAAATGATAAAACATCCGTGTGCGATATGGCTATAGTGCTGGTTAAAGAAGCTGTATTCCTAAGATAATGCTAAGTGAAACTCCCCCAGCATCTGTCAGCAATGTCCATCATGACTGGATCTGTTTGTAGTTTTAATGCAATAACAGCAGAAGAGCCAAAATTCTAAATGCTGACTTTTCTGTGGAGATTTTTTTAAAACCAAACCTAATTGTAGACATTTTTAACCGCCCACAGAACCCCTTTCAATGCTCATCCTACTATTTTAATCTTGCTATTTTGGAATCCAACCTGATGTTTTCACGAAAAGCAATTCAAAAGATAAACCAATGACTGGGATAGTGTTCATAATCTAGCAAAGATTGTTATCGTTGACATAGAGATACTCAGTCAACCACCCCCAAACTGCAATCTAAAGGGATACAATCAATATTCAAATTAGATACTGTGTCTGCTGCTTGTAAGCATCTGTCTGGCTTATCAAACATATTATGAAATGATTAATGAATATCCTTTCTGTTCCTTTCAGGGTCCACCTGGTCCAAAAGGTGAGAAGGTGAGTCAGCAAATCTCTGCTACTAATCAACTAAGCGGAAGTCGTCCTGATAGTAACTGGTGGCTATTGAAGCAGTTATGATATGAGATTATTTAAGAGACCTGGGTTAGCACACACGCTGTGTTAAAACTATCATCTTTCCACTTTGCAGGGAGATCAAGGTGATCAGGGCCCTCGGGTAAGCATATTAACAAAAATGTTACACTTCCTCTTCCCTGACTAGGCAGTTAGTCCATAGCGCAAAACTAAATTGAGCTAAGTGTCAAGCTAATTATGCTTATTAGCTGCTTTTACCCTGCATGTTGTAGAAAGTGTCTGCAGGAAAGCCAAAGGCAAACATTTCACAGATCATTAAAATATGCAAGTAAAAAGAGTTCATGGTACACACATTACTGCACACACTAAAATTCACAATCTCTGTGGTTCGATAGTCATATTCTAGAATGATTGTGATTTGCTGCATTAGAAAACCATCTTGCCTAACTAAACTTCCAGCCTTCCCCACCTGTTTCTTTTGTCAGATCTGCATGAGCTTCTATTAAAGCAAATGGCAGTTGGATTTCATCAAATTATACTTCTTTAGAAAGGAGTTTTGTATGCCTTTATAATTTGCTTTTTGGAAATAGCAATCTGTTCTGTATCTAGAACAGTTTAGAATTAGCAATATAGCGAAACACAGCTTTTGCTAGATTTGGTTGTGCTTGTTTTTTTTTTAACTAAGATAATGACACAGGAAAAGATACTGTTGCACTGAGAATGCCAGTTGTTTCTCTTTACATCTGTGCATCATAGTAAAAATAGAACAAACACCAGTTGGTGCCAGAAAACAATTGTCAGCAGAGGGAGAAATGTGTTCTTCCCTCCCTCCTTCAGCTTTCCCAATGGACCTAGCAGTGGTGGCTCCGTATTTTGGAGGAGACCCACTTAGTTGCCTGCCTTGTTGGAATTGCTTTGCAGGACGCTCAGAAGGAAAGGACATGGGAATGGCTCTTTCTATGGTTTGTATTCTTGGACAAAGAAAATGAGCATGCAACTTCAGTGAGGAGAAAATGAAAGAGCCAGCAGCCTGTGATATCATCAGCAACTCTTGTCCAACAGTTCTAGATCCTCCCTAGCTTTACTCAAGATACTTTGTCATCTTGCTACAGCAGTCTGGTCTCTTCACACAACCTGGTGTGGTGATAGGAGACCAAAATGAATGTCTAAACAGCAGCAGAACCAATAAAACACATTTTTTCCCCTCGCTGAAAACTTTTTTTCTATTTGTGTGGAGCTTTTTGCAAAGTATGTAGCGACAAGAACTGACAGTAATTATCTCAAGTGCTATCCCAACTTCAAAACTCCAACAAGCCCCAATAGCACTGAAATCCATTTTGGGTAGCTCTTGTACAAGGTGTTGGGCTCTGAATGCTGGTGTTTCAAATTTTTCTGTTTGCCTCACAGCAAATCTTAAACAAACATTGAAAGATGCCATAGAAAATATTCAGTATTTATTTCCTAGCAGCCTGCTGCCGCTGCCAGTTATGTACTTAAACCAGGGTTCTAAACAGTCTTTGCAGAAAACAACTGCAACCTATTTGCAAACTCAGTTTATTACTAACTATTTAAACATGTACTCTTTAAACTCCTGCATACCTGCCTGGTTGGTTTAACATATCTGGAGGTTGGGGAACCCTCTCCTGCCAAATTGTTAATTATTTGTGTAATTTTCTCTGACCTGTATCCTTTTCATGTGGGATTTCAAACATGTTTGCTATTTAGTATGTATTTGTTTATACAGCTGAGAGAACCAATAATGAGTAAGCCTATCTTAATTTATGGCTTGTTAAGTTTGTTCCATATAGTGGTTTGATAGAAACCAGGGTGATAGAAACTATGATGGGATGCATTGAATATAAGGACAGTCATTCTAATTGCTTTTCTCTCCTTCCACCTTTTCTACCAGGTACAGAGATGTTGAGCCAGATTTTTGCTGTGCATGTACTGTAGCTATGAAACAATAATGGAAAAAGCTACTGCTAGGATATTTATTATTCAGGGTAATAAGTAGAGAGCTATTCAAAAGGTCATTATAGTTGTTTTCTACTTTTATAAGGCAGGGCAATCCAGGGAGTAGAAGCAAACTTTTGTTAGCTTTGAATCAAGTTTTAACGTTCCAGAAATCTGCTTGCCTTGAATCACTTGAACTATTAAGACATTCCTGTCTTATTCAGAGCATTGTTATTTAATATGCTTATCTCTGAACCTACATGTATTAATTTTTAGCCCCTGATGTACATAATATATCTTTTAAAAATGTTTGAATAATACTAATTTTAGTCCTGATACTGGATCATGCCAGAGAGTTTTTCTGTGCATTCTCTCAAAATCTGAATTTAAAAACACATTCAATGGTATTCAGTAGGGATGGAAGAGATGTGATCATTCAGGATGCTCACATCAGATATTTCATACCCAAGATTTTAAATCATATGATACCTAAAATATGTAATATTTTAATTTCCTTAAAAGCAAGCAATAATGCCATGATCCAACTAATGTTCCAAAGTTCATACATTGGCAGGAGAGGTTCAGTCATCCATGCCCAGATTCTTCTGCAAATTGAACTTCTGGGTAGGATTTAGTAATGATATAAATCCTCCATGAGTGTGGTGTAGATGAATATTCAGTGTATTGTGATGGATACAGAACTAATTAGACTTCCCATCTAATGTCCCATTACATGGATGAGGGAATAGATCTGTGTATACCTTTTGAACAGGTCAACTACTTTGAATTAATCAATCCCAAGGTTATTTCACAAAACAAAACATGGGAGCTTGCTTCTAACAGCAAAATGATCATATTGTTTTATTTGGTTTGTTATGAAGTCCCTCCCAGCTTCTTCTTTTTAGAGCTTGTACAACAGAGAGCAGAGTTTGTACAATACAGAAGGCTGGCAGGAGTTTGCACAGTGAAGAACAGAATTTGTAGAATAGAGAGGGCTGTACAATGGAGAAAACTGAAAGGAGTCTTCTCCAAGGCGGATGATTGATTGATTGATTGATTGATTGATTGATTGATTGATTCATTCATTCATTCATTCATTCATTTGTTGGATTTATGTGCTGCTCAGCTCATCCAGAGGCAACTCTGAGCAGCTTACAAGCATTAAAAACAGAAACATTAAAAAAAACTCAGTAATAACAGTAATCACAGTTACTGTTACATGGCAGCGGCTGCGTTGGCTCTCAAAGGTGAAAAGTTTTTGGAGGATTATTATAGGCCACATGATCGGGAAGGTTTTAATGTGTTTGAGCAATGTAATGGGACTAAGCTAACATGCAACTGACAATCTTTGCTGATATGGTGAGTTTTTAGCTGTTTCAAAACTGTTGGTGAGATTGTTAAAAGTCATGTGTGCTGTTTGAAATTGTTCTGCTGGCAGCAAGATCTGACTGCTGGCACAGTGATGGATTCTATTGCAAATCAGAGCTGTTTCCAAAGGAGGAGACGAGGAGGAGGCAGAGGAGGAGAGGTCCTGGGGCTTACGGAGCAAAGGAACTGGATGAGGCTGTTGGCAGGCCCAGAGGAAGAGAGAGAGGCTTTTGGAGGAGTTGGTGGCGGTGACAGCGTGCTCCAGGGATGAAAAGGAGCAAGACCCCTTTAAGGAAAAGGTAGAAGAGAGAGGATCAGAAAAAGGAAATGAGGTGAGGTTGTTGTGCAGGAATACAAGCTAATTTGAGGGCTAATCCACATGGAGCTCTGTTTCCATCTGTTCTGTTTGCCATTGTTCACTCCCTAGAGACCAAAATGGACGTTCTGAAACTTGAGCTGGCCACGAACAAGGAGTGTATATCACAGGTGGTGACTCTTTGAGAGCTGTATGCAACAAATTTCATTTTGATGTATGCCGATTGGTGTACATTCAAAGTGACAAAGTTGTTATTGTTATCATCATCATCATCACCAAAAGATTATAAGAAGGGAGAAAGGAGCATGAAGACCATGAAGGAAGGTGTTTTTTTTCTCAGTCTACTAACCACCCCCAGAGTGATACTCCTCCCACAGGGGCCCCAGTCCCACTGGCAGGACCAGGACTTCAGGCCCTTACAAAGGTCAGGAAGGTTGGTGCAAATCTTACCACTGGATAGAAGGCTCTTCTCCTGGACTTTGCCCATCAGAATTCCTTGCCTGGCCGGATCCTCTCTGCCAGATTCTGTTGGGGTAAGATGATTCCTCAGATAGCCTGGACCCATGCCCTACATGTTATGGCAGGTACCTAATGCAAAGTCCCCTGTTTAGCCCTTCAAGTCTGTGAGACCTCTTCATATATCAAGAGAGAGCAGGCAGAACCCATTGTCTATGGAGATTCTCAGTCGTCCAGGTCATAGTTGTCTCAAAGATGCTTTTTCACAAGGCAACTGGACTTTCTTGTTTTTTTCTCTTTGAAGATGTTTCCCTTCTCATCCAAGGCACATCTTCATCTCTGACTGGATGGTGGGGAATGGAAGGATTTATACTCCTTGCAGACAGCTGGTCATTTGCATTCTTTTAGAGAGTCATTGAGGCCACCTGCAGGTTTATCTGTGTTGTAAGGGTCACCTAAGTAGTGCAAACGGATATGGAGCCTTCTTTCGACAGTTCCAAAAAGGCTCCACATCCTTTTGCACTATTTTGCACTATTCAGGTGGCGCAGCAGTTAGAGTGCAGTACTGCAGGCCACTTTAGCTGACTGTGTTGAGCAGGTCAGCGGTTCAAATCTCACCGGCTCAAGGTTGACTCAGCCTTCCATCCTTCCGGGGTAGATAAAATGAGGACCCAGATTGTTGGGCCAATGTGTATATATATATATATATATATATATATATATATATATATATATATATATGCTTACTGGTGTACACCGCTTAGAGAGTGCTTGCACTTAAAGCAGTATATACCGTAAATGCCGGCGTACAAGGCGACCCGGCGTATAAGACGACCCCCGTCTTTATAGCCGGGCCGCATTCCTAGAATGTCGTCTTATACGCCGGAAACTACCAGTATTTCCGGCGTATAAGATGACTCAGCATATAAGACGACCCCCGTCTTTGGCGCCGATTTCAGCGCTCGCGGAAGTCGCCTTATACGCCGGCATTTACGGTAAGTCTCATAAATAAATAAATAAATAAATAAATAAATAAATAAATAAAATAT